CTAGAAAGCATTCAGGCTTCAAACAATGAATGATCCTAAGTCCCTGCCTGACAGCATCAAGGCAATATCGGGATCGTAAACTGCGGAAGCCAACAACGTAAGCCGAACTTGTTATCAGGCAGTAGTTGCGCTGGCATGTGCTTGCTTCGGCAATTATAGTTGCATCCTCCACTCTGAACTTGTTCGGTCGTGCAAAGGCTCGTGAGCCTTGTGCATTCAGCTTGCTCATCCAAAACTGACCGGGGTCCCGGCACTGCCATCCAGGAAAACTATTGAGAATTGGTTGCTTGCAGCCACATCCTCAGTGCATGTTTCTGCAAACCCCTTTCAGAATTCAAGAGCCCCCGTTTCCTGCTTGGCTTGAACGATGGCGAACCCCTTGGTAGCAATGTTGTTTCTTACCTTGCAAGCCTGTGGATTTCGTGCAGATTCTGTGCACCGTCATTCCACGCCCAACAACAGTGCATGCAGGGTATGTGAGTCTCGAGTCGGACATATCAAGCAAGCATCGGCCATGTATGAGGCGGTAGGAACTAACAAGGACCACTTTGACACTCTCCTGCCGGCGAAAGCTTGTGCATGCGAGTGCAGCCAGCAACCCCACACAGCTCAACTAGGCCGCTTTGGCTATGCTAGGACAGCTGCCCGCATTGTTTCATAGTACCTGCAATGGTACCGAATCGAACCTGCATCGGATGCACCGATCAAATTGCCGGCGAGGTCACTGGGTGACAACAAGAAGATGTGAAATGTGATCCGCCGACAGCTCCTCCTGGCCAACACTGGCAGCCCTTCTGCGAGATGCTCGGATGCCCTGCTCTCTTTCCCAACACCAGGTACTCTTATGGCAGCAGCGTGCGCGCAGGGCGAGAAGCGTTAGCCCCGTTCGAAACAAATCAACCGCACAGCCAAAGATCCTCGGTGCCAAAGGTCACCGACTCTCGGATGCCATCGATAATAGCTCGACGCTGTCTTGCCTTGGTCACATGGCATTCAGGAGTCCGAACTTTGGTGTTGCCTGCGATTAGTGATGGGTATGCCGCGAATGGAAGCCGCCAATCCGAGGTACGATGCCCTCGCCCTGCAATTGAGCTGCATCCGCAGAGGCTTCTGCAGCCTGGCAGAAAGCCAGCTAACAAATGAGTACATTCTAGAAGCCGACGCTGGGATGGGAGACTTGGGAATGCATGTGGGAAGACTGACGCATTGTAATGAATGAACAAACTGCAGTGTCGGTGATGTCTGCGAGAGGCCATCTGAGCGATGTGGCAATTCCAACAAGTCAAGTCCCTGACTAATTTGCTCTACATTTCGGTTTTTCCATTTCTCAGCTCCATGAATGCAGGCTTTCCAATTCTATCCAATATCCGGGGCGGCATGCCCAGTGCACCGCTTCTGTGGAGCCGTGGCGTAGGTATACCAGGCTTTGAGTTCATGTCTGATGTCTGACCGACTCAGCTTCGATGCAATCCTGTTTGCAATGAATCGACTGCAGACTCATACTTCGCATCTGGGAGCATAAAATATGTACACAAAAACGGAACAGACACATACACAAACACATACATATATGTATATAGAAATATATTTGGGTTTGTACTTTTTACGGTGGCCGGGTATGATTCGGGGTATGCTTCGGGGGCATGATTCGCTGTGGCAGTAGTAGTAGCAGCAGTAGAAGTAGCAGTGGTAGAAGCAGTAGTAGTAGCAGTAGCAGCAGCAGTAGCAGTAGCAGCAGTCGTAGCCGTAGTAGTCGTCGTAGTCGTAGTCGTAGGCGTAGTAATTGTTGGTGTTGTTGTTGCTGCTGCTGCTGTTGTTGTTGTTGTTGTTGTTGTTGTTGTTGTTGTTGTTGTTGTTGTTGTTGTTGTTGTTGTTGTTGTTGGTGTTTTTAGTTGGTGGTTGGTGTTGGTTGGTGGTTGGTGGTTGGTGGTTGTTGGTTGTTGGTTGTTGGTTGTTGGTTGTTGGTTGTTGGTTGTTGGTTGTTGGTTGTGGGTTGCGGGTTGTGGTTCTTGTTCTTGTTCTTGTTCTTGTTGTTGTTGCTGCTGTTGCCGTTGTTGTTGTTGTTGTTGGCTCAACGGGGGGGGGTTTGCCCGGGATTTCAGCAGCGCAACATACTGTAAAAACATGTGACTGCCAAGTCGCCCCGTTTTTACCAGGACATTTGGCTGTCGGCAGAGTCGAAACTATACCTGCGTTCGTTGTCTGGTCATCAGTGCATTGCAGCCTTGTGACGCACGATGCCTTGGCACATACCGCGGCAGATGGGTGCGCGACGTGCTGTAAAACGCAGCATATCTTACACATATCATTGGGCATGTGCATTTCTTCGCAGATAATGACTGCGCTTTTGTTTGGCATCTTCATGTCAGCATGATGTTGTTAGTCGCACGTCGGGCATCGTTTTTACAAACATCGCGCGCGCGACTTGAAAATGACGGGCAAACCCCCCTGGCCGTTGTTGCAAAAGCTGCCAGCTGGTAAGCGCACCTGCCAAAAGCTGCCAACTGGTCCACCAACTGGTAAGCACACCCGTTCAAGTGCACCCGCTCAGAACTGTGTCCAAGCCCACCAACTGTTAAGCACACCCGTTCAAGCGCACCTGCTCAGAACTGTATCCAAGCCCGCAAACTGGTAAGCACACCCGCCCGTTCAAGATCAGAACTGTATCCAAGCCCACCAACTGGTAAGCACACCCGTTCAAGCCGCACCCGCTGGGGTAAGCCAGCCGGCCTCAAGTGACTCCCGCTTAGAACTGATGATCCAAGCCCGCCAAATGGTAGCGCCCCGTTCAAGTGCGTCCCGCTGCTCAGAACTGTATCCAAGCTCACCAACTACCCGTTAAGTGACACCTGCTAAGATAACTGTATCCAAGCCCACCACTGGTAAGCACACCATACGTTCCAAGCTCACCGCTCAGAACTGTATCCAAAACCACCAACTCAAGCGCGCTCGATCAGGAAACTTGTATCCAAGCCCACCAACTGGTAAGCACACCCGTTCAACCGCACTCGCTCAGAACTGTATCCAAGCCCACCAACTGGTAAGCACACCCGTTCACGTGCACCCACTGTATCCAAGCCTACCAACTGGTAAGCACACCCGTTCAAGCGCACCCTCTCAGAATTGTTCCCAAGCCCATGAACTGGTAAGCTCACCCGTTCAAGTGCACCCGCTCAGAACTGTATCCAAGCCCACCAACTGGTAAGCGCACGCGTTCAAGTGCACCCGCTCAGAACTGCATCCAGGCCCACCAGCTGGTAAGCACACCCGTTCAAGTGCACCCGCTCAGAACTGTATCCAAGCCCACCAACTGGTAAGCACACCCGTTCAAGTCGCTCAGAACTGTATCCAAGCCCACCGACTGGTAAGCACACCCGTTCAAGTGCACCGGCTCAGAAGTGTGTGTGTGTGTGTCAGTGTGTTGTTGAGATGTTTGTGTCAATCCTGGCCTTGACCGGAAACATTGCCGGCTTGGGGTTGGTTTTAGTTTGCGAGAACACAGCTGTGTGGAAAAGAGGTTTGGTGGCCAAACAACATGTTTTTCCATGGGTGGGAACCATGCAGTGTTTATGACTTGATCGGTGACATTGTTCTTCGGGCAAACCCTCCCCGGCCGTTTCGCATTGTTTTCCCGGGCAAACCCCCACGTCCAACCTGGTTGTTGTTGTTGTTGTTGTTGTTGTTGTTGTTGTTGTACTCCTTCTTATTAGTAGTAGTTGTAGTAGTTGCAGGTCAGTAGGAGTAGGAGTAGGTAGCAGTAGTTATAGTAGTAGTGAGCAGTAGTACGGGAGTAGTAGTAGTAGTAGTAGTAGTAGTAGTAGTAGTAGTAGTAGTAGTAGTAGTAGTAGTAGTAGTAGTAGAAGTAGCAGTAGTAGTAGTAGTTGTTGTGGTTGTTGTTGTTAGTAGTAGTAGTAGTAGTAGTAGTAGTAGTAGTAGTAGTAGTGGTAGTGGTAGTATTGGGTAGCGCTGGTGGTGGTTGTTGTGGAGGCAGTGAACAACACAAAACGGTAGAAGAACAGTAGCATCTTGCAGCATACGTTTTAAGGGGTATGATTCGTGGGTATGATTCGGGGTATGATTCGCCATGGTCGCACCTGCCTTTTGCCGCAAATGCACAACATAACAAGACAAACCGAAATATATTTATTATTAGTACTACTAATATATATAAAGTACATACTATTTTTGATATATATCATTACCACTGCACACGTGATCGCCAGTGCCCGACAGTGGGCCTTGCGGACTCGTACTTGCGCTGCCTCTGCTTGCATTTGGGAGGCATCGCCTGAAGAATGAGTACATCGTCCAACATGTCCAAGAAGCAACGGACACAATAGGAGTGCTTTCCGTGATCTCAGAGCTTACAAGTGACTTGGTGGAAGTTGCACGTAGGGAGTAGAATGATCTGAAGATGTACCCCAATTCTCCAATCCAACTCCAAACATGTGCTGTTCATGTGCTGGCACAGAACATCAATCATCCTCCTCTTGCATTCACACGCGCACACCACACAGACACACAACACTCGCGCGGCACACGCGCACGCGCACGCGCACGCGCACGCGCACGCGCACGCGCACGTGCACGCGCACGCGCACGCGCACGCACACGCACACGCACACGCACACGCACACGCACACGCACCCCCACACGCACACGCATACGCACACGCACGCGCACACGCACACGCACACGCACACGCACACGCACACGCACACACACACACACAGAGACACACAGAGACACACAGAGACACACAGAGACACACAGAGACACACAGAGACACACACAGACACACACAGACACACACAGACACACACAGACACACACAGACACACACAGACACACACAGACACACACAGACACACACAGACACACACAGACACCCACAGACACACACAGACACACACAGACACACACAGACACACACAGACACACACTGACACACAGACACACACACACACACACCCACCCACCCACCCACCCACCCACCCACATCACCGCCCCCGCGCTGTGCTTGCGGCGGACAGAACACACAGAGAGGACCATTGCAGCCGCTTGCAAAAGTGCAGCCCCGATGCGCGAAGCCGCTTCTGTTTGTTAATCTCCTCGCGTGTGAATGCAGTTCCTGTATTGACTACGAAAAAATGTCCTCCGTTTATGCCAAGGAATCTTTCATTGGACTGCTTCCGCTGCTGTTCTGCTCCACATTGACCACCAACGCCTTCGCGATGGGTGGGTCCAACATGGCATGCGCAGCATATTCTCGCATTCGCTTAGCTGAAATCATTGCAGCGCAGCCGCAATCGAGTGTGTGTGTGTGGGCAGCCTGAATGAATGCAGGCCAGAATTCCTGGGGCCAAGGAAAAAGTACCTTACTGACTTCACCTAGCATTCGCCTTGCGAATCTCGTGGCCATATTGGATCATTGCATCTCTCAGCGTGCTCCTTGGCCGGTTGGCATGCATCAGTACACTCATGTCGGGCAGGGTTCAAAGCACAAACCAAGCTTGTGTTGGCTAATCTAATTTGAGTAAACTTGTGGTTGTCGAGCAGCTCGATGGTACTCGAGATCTCGTCTTTCTTTTCAAAGCACTCATCCAGCGTCAAGGTGGGCACGAAGGATCGCACGTCCCCTGCCCTAAGCTTTACAGGTTGAGTTCCGGTTCTTCAATCAAAATACCTGATCCATGGCATGTCTGCTTCTCCTTTGAACCTGTCTTCCAAGCTTGGCTCCTCGCACATACGACTCCAGCTGCTCGCTAATGTTATCCAGCTTGTACAACGCCTTGGTTGCGCTGCAAATTGCAATTTGCGCTGCAAATTGCAATTTGATCAACTCCATCATTAGAGGAGTGTGGCGAGCTACGGAAAAGAAACATCAAAGCCTGTGGCTCACATGAATCAGGGTCCAACCGAGATGGGTTGAATACCAGATTCTGAAAAGAATTGCATCTGAGTCAAGCTTCGAGTTCCGTTTTTACAGGGTGTGCCTCACGATGTTAAACAAGGTTGCAAGCCCCCAGCATATGAGCTCGTAAAGCGCAAGAGGCTTAAATCCAGATATTCCAGATCAAAGCCTTTTCGGGGGAGTCATATCCCAAACGTGTCGTGTCTGTTTGATTACACCCCCGCTAACGCAAACCTTGCGTGAGCTGGTGGCATAAGCAAAACATCTAGATGTGTCGCGTAAGCCAAACCGTGCGTTACGTAATCAGCTCTTTGGTCAGCTCTACCACTTGCAAGCCCCAACCTGCTCAAACCTGCCACAACGACGGCGCACCACTCCTACCTATCGCCAGCCGGTCCCAGAATGCCGTGACAGAAAGTAACACGACGCTGGCAACTCGGCAATTCTTATTCCAACTATTGTGGAATTCTAGTGTTGGACATACATGCCACATCAATGTATGATAATCCATTGAATCGGCTGGGTCTCACTCGACAAAGGGATGGTACAGTATTGCCACAACGGTGCGAGATGGCAATGAACATCTTGGAGGTCAATGCTTGGCCGAGGAGATATGGAAAGACCGCGTGCCTTCAAGTCCAGCCCTTCATGTCTCAAACAACATTGGAGTTAAAGTTAAATTCAAGTCTGAGCTTGCTGGAGGACAACAGGCACATCAGCTTGACGGTGCTGGGAGGACGGCAGGCTGATCAAGCGGACTCAATTATGCTAAGTGTCAGTTTGATCATTCCTGTGGGACGGGTTCCTGATTGCAAAACTTGCTAGACTCGAATCCGCTGAGTGGCATCTTCAGCAGTAGCGGCTGAGACAGTATGTTGCACAGCAACGTCCACGTCGACGAACACATTGTCCTGCACTGCCCCAAACTCTGAGGGTCGGTCACAGCTTGTTCCAAGATAAGATCAGCATCGGTTGAGCACCAATCAACTTGGCTCTTTAAGGCTTGATTGGATGTGGAGTGTGCTGAGATATGCGTCCAGCCCCAAGTCGGGTCCGCTGTCTTGGTGGGGACACGCACGTGGCTCCTTGGATGGCTCCAGAATTAGCACACATTCCTCCTGGGGAACATCTAACATCATCGAACACTTGTTCAAGGCGTTTGTTTTCGTTGGAACAAGGGCACCGATGCCATGGCAGCATTTAATTTGCAATGGCTCGGCCGTTGCAAATTGTTCCACAGATCGATCAGGTTGTAATGTAAATCCGCCGCCTTCTACATGTAGCGGCACTCTTTTACCCTGTGAAGCAATTACTCCAAGCGGCTGCACCACCCGGCTGCTAATCGATCGGAATCCCACCTGGAATGCTCCAAAGACTCCATGTAGCGAAGACGGAATGGACAGTTTCTGGACCCGACACCCTATGCAAAACCCTGGCGAGGGACCAACGGAGCGAAGCCGTGGAACGATTCTGCCAAGGCGCACAGGCCCCGCCAACGTCGAAGCCAGCCCAGCGGAGACCTGTTCGGAAGACACATGCCCTGGCATGCAAAAACAACCTCGTAACATGCACATTGGGGCGCAGAAGTGGCATGACGTGCCTGACAACACATCATGCTATGACACAGACACAATCACAGTCTTTGCAATATCATAGAACTTAATTATGCCTCGTCCAGCAGGCCTGACGCAAACGCGAGCAAAGAAGACTAGCACATCAAACTCATCACCGAATTTGGAGGTACACGCCAACTAGAGCTTTTGCGAGCAGTGTCAATCCTTTAGAACTCTAGCATTGTTGATTCCACTGTTCGAGCCCATTCAGGTCAACTGCGGAACATGACAAAATCCAATAGGCGTTCAAAGCCAGAGCCAAGGGATGGGGGATCGCCCTTTCTGGCTCTCATTGAGCCTACATAGGCATTGACAGTCCCCCCTTGCTATGGTTGTGAATCAGCTTGTGACAGGAGGACGCACCCACTGCCATGCCCAGGACAAGCCTGGCTCGAGTATTTGGCTAAACTTGCCAAAGGTCTCCAAGGCAAAGAATCTGTCCTGCCCAGCGCCGCACATCTTGAAAAACACTCCACACGCCAAGCAATCTCTTGCTGGTTCCTGCGGCACCACCACCAGGCAGTTTCCACATGGCAAACAGCCGGACCTCAGCTGTCCGAAAGCACCGCTTTGCAGTGAGCCTTGAAGCACTGCTCTGATGCCAGCATCTCAGAGCTTGCATATTGTTCGCACACGTCTCGCGCACCCGCATCTTATACAATTAATGCAGAACATGTCTCTATCGCATGTCCTCCTCGCAAAATCTTTTGGCAATCCCTCACGAGATGCTCAAGACAATCCCCGGAGTTTTGCTGCCGTGGGATTCTCAGGGTGGCCCTGGAGGTTGGCTGAATATGGGACACCCAGGTAGCCCTGGCACTTTGGTAAGTCATGGGATTGTTGCTGGCGTATGATATCCGAAAATGCTCTGGGGTTTTGCATTAATTGTCCAGCTTTCTTCTCGGACATCTCTTGCAATGAGCTGAGACGGCAGATAAGTTCAGGAGCGTCGGCTGGGCGGCGGTGGAAAAGCATTACACAGTGCATGATTTATTTGCCAAGATGCTCTTCGCGTACTCCTGCTCCACCTCCTGCTGGATGAATGCGAGCCATGCTGGACAGCAAGCCTAACAATTGTGTGAAAGGGGACTGGCAAGCACTTCACAACTTGTGAAAGCGTCATTTGTTGTGCTTGTCACCCTGCATAGCTGTGCGTGGCGGTAAAGCATTACACACATGTCTAATACTGCAATAGTTCTACGCACCTTGCTTAGGTATTGCGTGGACTGTGCATCTTCTTGTTGATTGAATATGGCTTTGCTGGTTTGCTGTCCCTCCTCTTTTGTTACTTGCGGTAGGTCTTGGCTAATTTCTGGGGGCTACACATCCTCAAAGGCAAGCAAATAAGCCACATGACATGTACCAAGGCAAGGCAGGCTGATGGCGCACTGGAAAGGCTCGACATTTGCTTTTGGCCGAATTTTGCGAATTAGGCAAGTTGAGCATTGCAGGCTACAGGTGCCCAGGCCCCAGTGTCACCTTCTCCCCAGACTGCGCCATCCTCAGAAGATCTGCACGACCATAACTCACTTTGACCAACCACCAGATCAGACCCTTCGGGAAGAGCCGTCGAGCCTGCTTGCTCACAGCAGCCCCTAGGGCGAGAATCAGCTGGGGCAAAAGCCAAGGCAAAAACGCCTTCAACTGCAAATTTCAAATACTTCGCCAAACAATCCCAGACTGATGCTGAGCGCTGATATGGACCATGGACTTTGCCAAAAGCCCTAAAAGTATTGCGTCAGTGATCTGGACAACTGAGGCTGCTTTCCTGCTTAGCTCTCAGATCACTGCCATTTGCAGCCCTGGTCCGCCCAGAAGTCGCAAGTGCTTTTGATTTTCGTGCTGCAGAACCTTGGCTTTCGGGAATATGGTCTGAAACCGCATTGCTACGTCGAATCAAACTGTGGCGAAGTCCCCAAGGCCAAACTAACGCGACACAAGCTAGACTGTTTGGATGCAAGAAGATCAAAATGAACCCAATTTATCCAAGTTCTAGCAAGCTAAAACAGGTCTGCGTGGCATAGAAGATCCATGGCAGCTGGGCTCCGCTTGATGCTCCCGTGGGGCTCTGATGACCCATCTGCAGCCCTGGTCCTTCGAGAAGGTGCAGGAAGTACGACTATCTGTATTGCAGAACCTTGGCGCGATTAAATCAGTACAACCTCACCGTAGTGTATTAAGCCAAGATGCGCGCTCGGTCCACTGCAGTGCCCAAGTTTGTCCA